TTAGAGGGTTGGGGGTTCCCCAGAGAGGGGAGATCTAGAGGCAGAGTGTGGGGGTATTGCCAGGGGGCAGCACCCCAGATCAAAGGGCACCAGGGTCTGGGAGGGACATGGGGCCAGCGGGACACCAGCCTGCAGAGGGCGCTCCAACGGCTGGATGAGCTAATTCCCGAGAAGACCAGCACGAGGCGCTGCCGGGGTGAGTCCTGCTTGCTTACACGGGGGCTGGGTGGTGCTGGGGGGGAGGTGTTTCAGCGGGGCCGGGGGGTTTCGGGCCTCAGCTATTTTCTTTGGAGTAATATGGCCCTCGCCGCTTTACGAGTTGTGCAGGCCTGATCTAGTTGAAGGGGGGGGGGGGGGGGGGGGGGGGGAAGAGCCCTTAAGAATGACAGCACTTTTAATACCAACCAGAACACTGAGCTCTACTCTGAAAGCACATCCAACTGCTCAAAGGGGTATGAAAGGGCCAGCGATTTCAGTTGACATTTAATTCCACACACAATATGGAAGGGTTACCACTGGCTTCAAGCACATTTCCTGTCAGCAAATGAAAAATAAATAGCAACCCTCCTAGAGTTTGTGAATGTAACAGAAAGGATTCTTCTGATTTTTATTTAGTGCCTCATCTTAAAATGTTAGGTGATGCAGACCGTACAGCATATTGTGGAATGTGGGAAACTCTCTGGACATACATATATGCTCTGTCGCTGCTATGCCACAATTAAAGGATGTCTCTGTAAACAAAGTGACATGCAAATAAATAAGACTCTAAATTTCCTCATGAGTATTTACAATTCAGATTATATGTAATTTTGTTCTTTTCAGACTCTGGTCTCTTTCCTTTTAGGAAATTAAGATGCATCTAAAACAAAATCCTAACAGTCACGGTGCACTTAGATAAAATTTAAAAGCACATTCAGTTTTCTGTCTTCTGATTTAGAAAAATAAGCTTGATCAACGTTCTGAGCATATTTTGTGTTTTTACAATTTATAGAGTCATCAACACAAACAATACTTTCAAGGGAAAAAATGTCACTTTCATACCCGCCAGCACTACTCTAGGGTTTTAAAGCCCGTCTCAGTTATCTGCAATTCTGGCCAAAGTCCTGGGCAGCTGGTTGAATTAAACAGCAGTCCAAGCCACCTGTCATCAGACGTCACTGCAGGGCAGGGATGCCTGTATCAGCTTCTGCTGCCTTTTCCCCAGCTTCAGATAGTCTGCCCTCCGTTGACAGTTCCAAGAGCCAATCAGAGGTCAGCAGGGAAAGTGGTCACAGGAACAGAGAAAAGTTTCTCACCCATCCTTACCCTCATCAACCTGAGTGACAGCATGTATCATAAACCCCTAACCAGAATGGTATTTAGGGAAATAATGTTTAAACATTGCGTGCACACATTTTATTACATATAGATACACACACACTCCCTTATTTAGTACCAATGGTACTGAGCTATTTTAATCATGTGTGTGTGTGTATAGACAAACTACTGTGTACGTGTTTACCAAGAGAAATCAAACAGTTCCTATAAGAAATATGTGCTTTATTTTCTTCTCTAGTTCTCCAAAAAAAGGCACCAACACAAGAAGTGATTCACAACAACACTGAATAACTAGCACATAATTAACATTTTTTGTTTCAACAAACCCACTTGATTAAGCAATATGTATCCTCCAGGGTCCTTATTCAACCAAAACCAAAAGAACATTGCACTTGTTCAATCATCAATGTTTGTAAACGACTTTCAAACATTACTGTACTATGGGACTGGCTCAACAGTGGCAAATATTTGTAGCTGATTTATCTACTTCTAGCTCTCAACCCTGCTGCATTTCCAAAAGAGAAATCAACAAACAAGGATAGCATGTTGATGGCCTGGAGATTAGTGCCAGAATTCTGTATCAAAACAGAGTTTTGTTTAGATACCAACAACTTTCTTTTGTATAAACCATTCAGACATTTGATTATTTAAAGACCAGTGGCAGAACAGATAATTCTATGATAGCTAATTGACATTACTAACCCACAGTAGCAAAATGAGAACTACACCTGGCCTGAGGACAACTAAAGTTATTTTTCAGGACTGTGAATGAAGGCTGTTGAACATCACAGCAAAACTTTTTCACTCAAACCTTGGCTCCATCTAAGTCTCGGCCAAGATTTGGACTTTTAAAATGCACAGCTGGCTAGGTCCCAAAGTACTTAGCTATTAGATATCCTGGGAATTACTGCATAAGGAAAAGAAGTGAAGGATAAAAGCATAAGACTTGGATGGAATAGTTTCAAATGTGTGAACTGCTCAGAAATGGCAGAGACCAAATGCTTTCTGGCCTGGTCCCACTTTCATCAACAGAACTTATTTTATATTTCAGAGGAATATAATTTTAGAAAAAGGGTTTTCTATATGAAAATCAGGGCCCCCCCTCTACATGTTATAAAAACTCCAGGGTCCAGCGGGGTGGGGGGGGTGGGGGTCTCTGGCAGGGGCCATGGGCATAGGTGTAGTTTGACTTCTATTTTGTGGGGGGCAGGGGCCAGTGAGGCTAGAGGCACCTCCACATGGCGGGGTCCAGGGAGTGAGTGCCAACTCCACCCCATGACTCACTTCAGCAGGCCACTCAACAACCAAAAATTATAACTCAAAGGTGGGGGGCTTAGCTAAAAAAGTTTGAAAACAACTTAGTGTGCAGGGAGGGGTTAGCTAGGGGCTGTGTGCAGACAAGGGGTAGCTCAAGGTGCAGGGAGGGGAGTAGCTAGGGGTTGTGTGCACACAGAGGGTGGCTGTGGGTGCAGGGAGGGGGGTGGCTAGGGGCTGTGCATGGGCAGGGGGGGTAGCTCAGGGTGTAGGGAGAGAGGAATTAGAGGCTGTATGCTGGGAGGACTCCTCTGTGGTCCCTGTTCCCGGAAGGGTCTGCCAGCCACAGAGTTGGGTCTCCCCATCCGGAGGGCTCTTACCAGCTGCCTCTGAGGGAGCAAAGGGGGCTGGGAGCTGAGGAGCAGCTTCAACCTGGGAGAGCAGGGAACGCTGCCGCTGCCTGCTCCGTGGCACCAGTCAGAGCAGCAGCTGCCCCGCACTGCCTGACTCCGGCTTCCCGCCTCCAACTGGCCAGGTGGCGGAGAGTGGAGATGGGGGGTGAGGTGTGGAGCTGCACCCGGGACTGCTGTGCTCGTGCTGCAGTTTGCGGAGGGCGCAATGCCCTTCATGTCCCCAACTCTACCCATGGACTCAGAACTTCTGCCCCACAGGGAGCACCAGGACTCAGAGCTCTGGAATTCATCCCCATGCCTCCTGGCTTCAGCCCTGCGGGGGGCGCCGAGGATCGGGACTTGGCCACGGGGTCACGGGGTCCCCTTGAAAGGGCTCACGGACCCCCCGGGGACCGCAGACACCCAGTTTAGAACTGCTGATCTAGAGCGCAGATGGCTGATGCAATACACGGTAATGCAGGGGTTCTCAAACTTCATTGCATCGCAACCCCTTTCTGACAAGAAAAATTACTACATGACCCCAGGAAGGGGAACTGAAGCCTGAGCCTTCCCGAGCCTCACCGCCCCACCTGGGGGCCAAAACCAAAGCCCCACTGCCCATCCTGTAACCTGAGCCCCACCACCCAGAGCTGATGCCCTTGGAATTTGGCCCTGAGCGGTGGGGCTCAGACTTCAGCTTCGGCCCCAGCAAGTCTAATGCCAGCCCTGGCATCCCCATTAAAATGGGGTCGCAACCCACTTTGGGGTCCCGAACCATAGTTTGAGCAGCACTGCTCTAATGAGAAATCTTTCCCAGCAGAGTAGCCAGTGCAGGATCAAGTTGATGGAGACCAATATGATTTATATCATAGTCCAGACAATTTTTTATTTTTATTTATTAGTCCTGGTGCTATACAAATTTTGGTAGAACTCCCTGAACCTGTTATTCATAGACTTGTAAGTTATTGCACCATCTGTGTGGGTGATAGATTCAGCAGCTCTGCTAATTTCTTCCATCCCCACAAGAAAGCCCTTTTTAAGCTAAAAGTAAAGGCTGTTCATGTTCATTTCCTATCAATGCTATCTCCAGAAACTAAGGATCACCATTTAAGGCAACATTAACATTCAAGCCAATCTAAATTGATGTACTGTATCACCCAATCACCACAATACTCTCTTTGGCTCTACACCAATGCACTTTTCACTTCTAAAACACAACCATCCGCAATGCACATGACTAAAGAGGCTTGTCATGTATTTTTTGACAAGATTTTTTTTTCCCCCACATCAGAAAAGGTTGAGTCATCAAATCTGAAACTGTTTGCAGGAAAGAATCAGTTCTGACAGATTTCCCATTTTGAAACTCGTTTCAATATTTTTCTGAAATTCTCAAAACATTTTTGTCCATTTTAAAGGTCAACATAAAAAGCTGTTTCAAAATGTAAGCTATTGTATAGTACATATGTAAAAGGCTAATATTGAAACATTTCCATTGATCTGAGTGAATTTATTTTTCCATATTTTTGATTCATGAAATGTTTTTAGATTTTGACTTTTCATCCCGATTCAGGATGAAAATATATTTTTTAAAATCTCAAAAATTCTTGCGGGATGAAAAAACGGTTTCCTGCCTAGCCCCTCACAAAACCAATTCCTCACAATCACATATGTAGCTATTGCACCCAACAGAGTCATTATTGCCACAAGGCCAGGGCAAGCCTGCCATCTCCCTTCCCTTCTTCCTGAATTAGAGACTGAAGCTGTGAAATAATTCTGTTTGTAGCACACCAAAGCTCTTGGACCTTCACTCCCCCATACAATGCCTGCGCAGCATTTCATCTGTGCTCCTTTGGAAGAAGAGGTAACATATAATGTTTGTGCATAAAAATGTGAATGACCCCTTATAAGACTCCTGCAGAGAATAAAGTAAAACAGCAAATCATTGCTGCTTCTCTTTAACAGGTTTAGTCTGCCCCTTTCCTTTGAAAAGCAGAGCCAGGCAGCATCCAGCCCTCTGGCTGTCCGTTAGGAGCTTACCTTTTCACTATAAGCTTGAGAGTCTTGTGTGATCCCTTCACCAGACAGATCGCCTCTTGTCTGAACCCGGAGAGGCCCACGTCATTGATGCTGACAATTTCGTCTCCAGCCAGTAACTTGTCAACAGCTGCAGCTTTGCTCCCTTCTTCAATCTGAAGAAAAAGCAATTCAAAAAAGCAGAAGGATTGAGAACAAATAACTACTTCATTTTTTTTTTAAAGATAAAAAGTAAAATTCATTGTTTATTGGTACTACATAACTGGGTAATTAGTAACACACTGAAGTGGTTAAAATGCAAAAGAATTATATGCTTGTTAAAAATATTTAGAGCTAAAGTAATGAAACAGAAATAAGCATTATGAGGGAGAGGGAGGACGTGTCTACGCTACGGGTCCTACAGCAGCTATGCAGCTGCAGCAGTATAGCACAGATACCTCCTACAGCAGTGGAACGGTTTTTAATCATCAAGGTAAGTAATCCACCTCCCCGAGCAGTGGTAGCGACGTGGGTAAGTTGATCTAACTTTGAAGCATAGACCAGGCTGGAGAAAAGAGAGGAAGGAAGGGCTACCTGAGCAGAAGGCTGCAACACTAAAATCTAGGGCCTGAAAAGTTTATTTCACATAACTACAGCACTCAGGGGCCTGAAAAAGTCTCACCTCTGAGCACTGGAGTTACGCTGACCTAACCCCCAGTGTAGGTGCATCTAGGTTGAAAGAATTCTTCCATTGACCTAGCTATTGCTGCTCAGGGAGGTGGCTTGCCTACTTTAATGGAAAAACCCCTTCCACTGCCGTAGGAAGCGTCTACACTATGGCGTTACCAAAGCATAGCTGTAGTCATGCCACTGTAATGCTTGTAGTACAGATGTGTCCTTGGTGTGGAAAGCCAAGGGTACCCGTGATCTTGAGTTTGACAGCCTCACCTTTGTTCAGTGCGTGGCCAATATAGTTACGCATGCTTGCACAAAAAAGCCTTGGACAAACACTTTAAAAATCTAGATTTTTCAGATGAGCTAGCTGATACCAGCACCACCACCATCACATTCCACCCAAAAGATGTTTGACATGCTGTGGTAACCAAAATATTGTGAAACTAGTTGTGTCTGGGAAATATGAACTAATTTAATGAATCGGATGTCTAACTTAACTAATTTCTAGGGTTGGAAGAAGGTATTTCCTTTAAGAAAACAAGGATTTTACAATGTTTGATAGAATTACACAGCAGTTCTGGCCGGGAAGAGAGAGGGAGGTGAGAGAACCAGTAAGCAAAGATTGAATGTGTCACATGCCCAGGTAAGGTGGCCATTCGTGGTGTACATCAATGGAAGGCATGTACTGCTTTTCCTACCACCCTTCCTGGACTACAGAAAATGTTACTGGTCAAATGTTACTCAAACTATTCATAATATTCAGATTAATTGACAGGCAGATAAAGTAAGAAGAGTTAATATTTGACCATTTCCGTCAACACATAAGAGATAAACCTGGTAATAACTATAGACATTGTTAATCTTAAAAAACAAAACAAGAGTTTGATTTGCTGAGTACTGGCAGCTCCCATTAACTTCATTGGTGGTTGTAGGTGCTTAGCTCTTTTGCAAATCCTTCCTTAACGTCTTCCTTTCTCTTTTATGCACACACTCCCCCCCCTCCCCCCGGGTCACTCAAATCCACAATCTAAGGATAATTTTTGACTCTTCCCACTCATCTGCTCACATACCATATCCAAATCTTGTCACTTCTTCCTCAACTCCTAGATCTGCCATTTTCTTTCCATTCTCAAAGCTAAATCTTTCATTCAGGTCCTCTTTATATCCCAACTTAAAATACCGCATCATCTCTGGCCTCCCCTTCAGTCCATACAAAATAATTCCACTAAAGTCCTATTTCTTGCATGATCATGTCATTCCTCTCTTTGAATCCATCCCTCCTTTAGTTCACCATCCACTATTACAGCAGATTTAACACTTGTCATCACCTTCAAAGCTCTATATAAAATTCTCCCCCTCCCTGCTTATCCATCTTTGTCAGGCTTTGTGTCACGCCTCCCTCACCCAAACAGCTTCTGCTCTTCTAGTGTTCCCCAGCCTCATCTGCTTCTTGCACAATTATCCCCAGGCCTTCTTTCATACTGTCCCCTAGGCATGGTACGACTGTCCCGAGTCCATCCGCAGGGCCCCTAACCTGGCCACACTCAAGGCCCTCTTGAAAACCTATTTCTGCTGTGTTCCTACAGAGAATCTAATTGACTTGTATAAAAATTCCTCATTCCTAGCTGTTCCTCATTCCAAAATGTTGTCTACCAGCTCTTAGAGAGTGAGCTCCTCTGCACAGGGCCTGTACTCTCTTGAAATCCCTGGAAAACACCTAGCACATCATAGTTATTACCATAAACAAATAACAATGTTTTACATTCTACTGTATTCAAAAGCAGGCCAAGTCATTTACTACATAATTAGTAAAAAAATAAAAAACAAAACAAAACAAAAACACGTATCCACAACTTATCTGCCTCAATACAATCAACAAAGAGGGCATATGGATCCAATACAATTCAGGAGTGGATATTTGAAACTTTGTTTATAAACTGAAGTTTAAAAAAAAGCAATGCTTCAACAATACAGATGTAAGTAAAATGATAAAATAAAGCAATACTTCTTGGAATGATGAGAGTTAACATGAGGATTGTCTTGTTGAATGGTCTCTTAAGAGATGCATTAACTACTTATGCTAAACACTCTGTTCCACCTTGTATTTAGCTGTGACACTGAGTACTTTTCCTAGACCTGAAGAAGAGCTCTGTGTAGCTCAAAAGGTTGTCTTTCACCAACAGCAGTTGGTCCAATAAAATACCTCATCTTCTCTCTTCAGAAAAGTCTAAATAAAAAATGATGCACTGAATATTTTGTATTTGTAGACCTTTCTAAAACAGTGGTTATTTTTAAAATTACTTGATAATAGTAAAGTAGTTTTCAAATCGTATCTTTTAAAAAAATGCAGATAATCAAAATTCAGGTAAGTTTTCACATCCAGTTACAATTAATGCACAATCCATGACCCACAACTGCCAGGGTATTTATTCAAATCTCATGGGTTCACTAAAAATTTAAAATCCCACTTCAGTTGTATGGTGGAGTGGAGAGCAAGGGAGTAGAGATGGAAATCATACTTCCATGCAAGCAAACAGGTTAGGAGATCAAGGAGTCAGGGATGGAAATACATAATTGCTCTAGGCAGCCACAGAAGAGAGTCACAAGTCAATCAAAACTAAGAGAAGTGATGAGCACCTGAGGACACATGAATCTTGACCCTCCCAAAAAGTGCTCTCAAGTCCTTTAAGTGCTTCACTGCATTTCTGGATTACCTTTAAATGATATGCATTTTGAAGCCTGAAGCATAGTGGAGCATAGAGCATGGGGAAATGTCAATGAAAAGCAGTGGTGAATGACTAGAGACCATGGGGTTGAGGATGGAGGTCAACCCGGGATGAATAAAAATTAAGAGGTATAATATATTGTGGTTTGAGGAGTTTTAAGCAACATATCTACATGTAAATTACTTGTGGCCCTTAAACTCCTGGCAAGGTACTGGTTCAGCCCTGAGGGCTGGAAAGACTTTGTGCCACTGGGTTATAAGCAATTTGAAGGTCTGAGCCTTAAGACCTTGACAGTGTCAGTTTTTCAGTCCAGTCTCCTAGGGTTTCAAGGAATTTTCATTGTTCGCAGCAAAGTTATTTGTTTTTTCTTCGAGCTGGAAATACACTGACTGAAGAGAGTATTCAGTTACCCCCTCTGAGTTTTCATTTCAGCAGGGGAACTGCACATTCCACATAGCGTAAGCCTTCCAAAGAGACTTATGGGCACGTCCAAAACAACATTAATCACAACTGAAAAACGAGACTGAGCTGAAGCACCCCTGACAAATACTGAAAGTGGGTCTCTTCACATATTGCTTCTAAATTAGTTGCAGATAAAAAGAATAAAACATACAATCTTATATAGTAACAATCCTTCTGCGCTAAAAGGATTCGTGCATAAATTTTCCCTGCTGGTTTGAACACAGATCAGTGAATGTGTGTATAAATAACATAATTCCATTCAATTATGTACTTGTTGGTCCAAGCATGAGTATTTGCTAGGGGGGAAAATACAATCCATTTTAATTACACTAAGAAACTGTTTTTTAACCAACACGTCTCTAAAGTAAACCTCTATAAGATAAAGGCTCTACCAGCAACTGAACACAAGTAAAACTAACTAACCAATTCATAGGAGAAGCTATCTGCAAAAAACATTATATCCCTTTTCTCCTACTATTGCCATTCTAATTTCCCTGTCTTCGTGAATTTTGATTTTATTACTTTCATCATATTATCTGTATACCAGATGTACTCTCCGCTCTATCAGACTGTTGTTTGAACTACAACCCTGCCCAACAGACAAACTTAGAACTTTCTCAGTACTGCCAAATGCCCTTGTGAAAACTATTGTGCAATTTTTTCTCATACCTCAAATACACACAGACATGCAAAAAATGTATTCACACACAAAAATGTTTCTCAATACACATTCTGATAAATACTAGGAACATCGGGACAAAAGGGGGCTGGAACCATTTCTGATTTACACACAGTACTGAACATGGTGTGTCTTTTTGTTTTGCACTCTCACTAGAAGAGAGACAGGAATCTGACTCAGGTCACTTTGACCATCTGCCCAAAACCTAGCCAGAGAGCAGGTCCTCTGTGGGGTTCCATGGGGAATCACGTCGGGGTCACCATTTGTGGGGATCACGTCGGGAGGATAAAGCACACGACCAATGTGGTTGCAAGCTGAACCAAGCTGACTCTTTATTACAAGCTTTCTCTTATAGTCTTTCTTGCTGAACTCAAACTGTTTATTACATAACACAATTAGGCTATAATTACACATCTACCGATTGGACAAGAAGGAGAATCATGTGTTTATCACATGTGTAGCCCCACACCGATTGGTTCAATTCTTCCTTACATAAGGCCATGTCTTATATAACCACCAGGGGGCCTTACATAAGGCCTCATCTTATATAACCACCAGGGGGGCTTACATAAGGCCATGATTTATTGTCAGGCAAGTGTCCCATCGTGACCCTTACCCTCTCATGGAACTTTGC